GTTTATACAATCCTATTAGAATAGGAATAGGTTTATACAATCCTATTAGAATAGAAATAGGTATATACAATTCTATTAGAAAAGGAATAGTAATAGAAATAGAAATAGGAATACTAAATAGTATCCTACTTGGTAAAGGATTGTATTCTAGGGTCTATAAATAGGGTCTCAATGTAATAATGTAAACAACAACAATTCAATAATATTCTTTTCCTATATTTCTCACAAATATGATGATTAAGAATAAATCCAATCACAAGTAACCTCAATTACAAATTGCAGTTATCAACAAGCAAGAATTCTCAAAACAACATGTGATAGTATCATTGTAGGCCAAATTGATGAAACGACTCATAGTTCAACTAAGTCACCAGTCTAACCCACACTAGGATTGAACATTCAATTTTCTTCGCGGATTATACCTTGTCAGAGTACATCATAGATCACCAACCAGAATGTTTGCTAATGCATGTCTACCTATCTTACATAGAATTTGTACAAATTGATGACTGAGTGAAAACACGCACTTTAAGGAAAACTATACTATTCTAATACATCATAATTCATCCAAAAAATATAAAAAGAACAAAGAATTAGAAATGCACCTGAAGTGAACATTCTCAAATTGAATGCTACCCCCACTTAAATTAAGAGATTTTGCATCAGCAGCATCTCTGATTTGAGCTTTTTCCTGTGTATGTTAGTCAGAGATCTGCTCAAAACATTTTATATATATATATATATATATATATATGCACAAGACATGAAGAACATGCACGTGATTTATTTATTTTTGATAAGGTAAATAGACTTCATTAAAGTAGCACCAAGGAGGTACTCGAAGAAACACAGGTTACAGCAAAGCTGTGACAATTACAGAACCAAAAAACCTATGAAATCCACCAGCTGATCTAAGTTTTGAAATATGTTTCCCTTACAACAAAAGTACAAATTTGAATACATCTACTCTATAGAAAAGCTATATTACTCTATCATTCTCAAAACATCTCTTATTCCTTTCCAACCAAATGGTCCAAAGCATGCACGTAATGTATCACTATCATATACATGAATTAATTCTATATCACAAAAAATGGTTCCTCAATAAGTGTCAGATGTATTTCTGGTGATCATTCATTTTATTGTTTGTGACATGAATAATGACAGTTCAATTTTGCAAGGACATGCCATGGCAGGTTGAGAAAATATGTTTGTAGCCAAATCACCATTTCTGTATCATGAAGGTCTACTACCAGAGTGATATAAAGGCTGTAACGGATAAAGAGTTACACGGCTTGATGTTTGGAAACTAAACGTTTAATACTTGTAATGTGGAGCCTGTGGCATCATATTGGTGCACATGAATGAAATTTCTCTTGATTTGTTAAAAAGAAAACTGAACAGGATAATGCACAACACAAAAGAAGGGCATTAGTTAATCATTTACCTTTGACCAGTGACCACACATTGCTTCCTAAAAAGGAACTGAAAATAATTCTAATATATCGCAAGTGGGCACATCACATGATTCACAACATAGTAATCCCCTCAGAATATGACCTCATTTTTATCACTTCAATCAGTAGTATGCAACCTAATTCAGTTTGGGGAAGATAACTTTATTTAGGATAACAGAAGATGTAAGGAAATTAGATTAGTGTAACATCTCGAATTCAAAAAGGAGGAAAATTTCAGGTTTCCAAATCTGGTGCCAGCACGGACGAACCACCGACGGTTCATAGGTTGGACCACGGACCGTAGGTGGAACCATGGTTGGCAAGATTAACTTTTCAGAAAGTGTCAAGTCCCAGTACTTTTATACGGTTCACCACGACGGTCCGTCATCCAATGTACGAGTCATAGATAGGTCTCGTAGGTGAGTCTCAGACTTAGAGATATTTTAAGAAATTTCAGTTGGACCCACGGAGGCCATGTACGAACTAAGACTGGGCACCGGAACGGGTTATACCGGTACCGTTCCGGTCCGGTAGTATTCGGGACGGAATGGGATACATTCAACCGGTACTCGGAACGGGACAGTATCATGATTTGGTACCGGTATACCGGTACCGGTTCATCCCGATTCCGGTCCGTGAAATCTTTTTTAAGAAAATTGTAATTGTAATACAAATTTGAATAAATTGGATTGGTTTTTTTAATTTTTGTCATTGTTTTATACTTTTATTAGCATTTCTTTTTTGTTTATTTAATTTTTTAAAATTACAAACTTAATTCATCACCTTCAAATAGTATAAACCTAAAAACTTTAAAATTTATAAATTTAACAAATTACAAATTTAAGTTACTTAAATTACAAGTTATAAGTTATAACTTATAACATATAACTTATAAACTTCAAAAGATTCAAATCTTGAAAACTTATAACATAAACTCAAAAACTTAAAAAAAAAATTAACTTTATTAAACTTAACTTACAAACTTATAAGAAAAAATTAAAATAATATATCTTTAAAATAAACTTAAGTAAAATTACAAACAATCATTATAAATTTCAAAACTTAAATACTTTATAACTATTAAACTTAGAAAAATAAAAAAATAACATTCATATTTTCGTAATTCAAAATAACTCAAAAACAAATTATTATTTTTTGAAATAGCTATATGTGCCGTCCCGTTTATCCCATCCCGTTCCATTCTGGTCCGTCCCGGTTCTATCCCCGTAATTTAGTGGGACGGGACGGAACCAAGTTTCCATCCCGGTAATTCCGGTCCAGTCAACAACCTGGCCAAAGTAAGAGAGGGAAAGTAAAACTTGTTTCTCCGAGGCACAGTCATTGAGGTAATGACCTGGGTCTTTATCTGAAACTTCCTTCCCCCTCCGGTGATCGGAAGGATCACCGGAATCAACCCCTCTTTCTTCTCTCTTCCTCCCACTCATTCCCCTTTCTATAGATACCCATTTCCTATATTTTCTGATGGAAAACACCATTCATTTTGCTGTGGGCTTCAAGTCTTATGATCTTGCAAGACTCTCAGGGACTGCTGGGGATTGGTATGACTGGACTGAGAGAAGCAGAACCACGACTCATTTTACCAAGAAAACTATGATGTGGATACTCCAAAGACTGAAGGAAGCCTCCTTGTCTAAAGGAAACTCAGTGAGAAGATGGAAAATGAGAGAAGATTTCTCTGAAACCTTTTGCGCAAGAAATCTCAACAAGTATGGCAGATACATCAGCATTATCAATTTGAAAGGCAAGAGGAGATCGGTGTTGATTATCCCAGAGCTAACACTCAACTCAGGATGGACCTTTGTAGCAGAAAAGGTGGATAGGTTCATTAAATCCCAAAAGAATGAGCTACCCACAATGGAGCATAGGTTGACTGACAAAAATATTCCTTATTCTGAAGCTCTTAGGAGCAGTAAATGGTCCAGCAGGGATAAAAGTTTCATAAATGCAGATTCTATGTTGAAGAATTCCGGGGGTGGAATAAATGATGTAGATGTGGCCAGTACGTTTATGAAAGAGGGGGGTAGAATATGCAATAATGATGACTCATTCTTGCAAAATGAAGTATTGAAAAGAAGTTTGGTGGGGAAATTCGAGAACAGAGTAAATGTACCCCTTACTCTTGCAGAGATCAGAAGGTGGTCCAGTAACATTTGGAAACAGTCTCACGGTCTGAGCATCTACGAGATGGGCAATGAAATGTATAACAGCAAGAGTGGACCAAATAAAGAGAAGATAGTGCTTCGTACCACAGCAGACGAGAATGAAAGAGGTGTCTATTCCATTAAAGAGCCAACTTTATCATCACTTATATCCTATCCTGACTGGGTAAAAAATGTAATAATGCTTGTATATCCAATTCTTTTAAGCTGCAGAAATAAAGCAGACAGTCCCCTAGAGACACAATAGGAGGTACAATATCTTATTATGAACTCAGGAAGCAAGATACGAGAGGCATCATCTGATACCAGAAATCTTACGTCTGCATATTATGTTTCTGCTCCAAAATTCGATGTCATGTGCCTAACTGTTCCCTCTATAATTATTTAGATAGCACAAATGTATTTAGCAAATAAAACAAAACAACAATGATATCAAGGAACTGGCTGATACCTCTAGTAACTGAAACATTGATTTCATGTCCACTAGACTTTGGATAGTCTCACGATATACGCTACCAAGGAAATTCAGCGGAAGCGATAGCTGGAACAGCAACCCGTTTACCATGACCTATCAAAAATAGTAATATTTCTTATTAGAGTGCTAGCACTGCAGAAAAAATAATCACTCGGCTAAGGTAATTAGAGAAAAAGTTCTACCAAGTCACCAACAGTCATGACACCATTCATAATCCCATTAGAACATAAAACCATAGCAGCTGAGAGAGCTATACTGAATATTGCACTTTGCCCAAAGTTTAAGATTGCAAGACTACGTTGTGTCTTTAAGGCAGCATCTTCATATCCTGGAGACAACACCATAATATCATGATTGCTTATTCCAATAAAAGAAAATGAGGAACAACGTAACAGTCAAAGTTTTGTATATCATAAGCCAATGAATCTATATCTATATATCTATATAATTGAGGATCCTCAACCCGGTGATGTGGCATGCTTTTTTTTTTTTTGAGAATTGGTAAACATTGTATTCTTCAGCATTAAGGATATGTTGGGGACCTTTAAAAAATTCAGAAAAGAACAAAAAGCATAATACTTACAAGGATCCTAAGAGTTCTAAAAGTTGATCTGAATCCTCTAATCCTATCTCTTTACACCAAAAATATAGAGATACAATGCAATTCCATTTAACCTTGTGAATGGAATTGGATATATCTTCAAAATTCCTACTATTCCTCTCCTTCCACACTGTCCACCAAATGCAATGTGGAATCAAATTCCACCAGGTCTTCTGTCTCTTGCTACCTCCTCTCCTGATCCAACAACTAAGTAAATCAGCTGTATGTTCGGGCATAGTCCATTTCACTTCTAAATAGTTGAGAAACATGGACCATATTTGTGCTGTGAAAGTACAATGTAAGAATAGGTGACTGTTAGTTTCCCCCGTCTTTCCACATAAAGAGCACCACGGAAGTATGATCTTTCTTTTCTTCCTCAAGACTTCATGTGTCAAGCATGCCTTTCTAATGACCAGCCAAGTAAAGCATTTAACTTTTGTTGGTGCTGCAGTCCTCCAGATATTTTTCCATTAACTCTGGTATCTGCTACTTTGCGAGTTGCACTCCTTTTTATATGCCCTACCAACTGTGAAGATCCCATCCTTACTGTGTGTTCAATGATCAGTTATCTATTTTTTTCCAGGTTCTTGGAAACTTTCACATAATTATTTAATTATATATATCTATATAATTGAGGATCCTCAACCCGGTGATGTGGCATGCTTCAATGATCAGGTATCTATTTTTTCCAGGTTCTTGAGAACTTTCACACAATAATTTAATTATTAAATATACACTATAATAAATATCACAGAAGGCGTGTCTTCCTAAATTCTATACAAACCTTTCGCACTAAAATCTCGCCACTTCGAAGACTGCAAGCGGGATACATACCCCATCACAAGCTAGAATAAGAAAATTGGCCCTTTCAATAAGAATACAGTGAGAAAATTCTAGAAAATTTGACAGCGGTGCTGCTTGGAACCTCACCGTCACCTCAAACTGGAGTTTCAACGGGCGAATCAAACACAATTTCAACCGGATAAACTAATTTTCGAGGGAGGCTATGGTTTTTAAATATGCTGGAGGGAGTGTAATCTCAGGGTATCATAGAAAAAGATGAATTGGTCAGAGAAATGGTTTCGACGGAACTAGGTTTGTTTTCAGCTGTCATAGAATTGGATGGACTGTGAAGATGACGGGGGTTCATGGCTGATTTTCCAGAGATAGATTTGATGTTTGATGGTGTTTTGGTAGTGTTAGAATAAGATAGGAAGAAGAATAGTATATACAATCCTACTTATGATAGGAATAGTATATAGAATCCTACTTGATAAAGAATTGTATTATTTTTTTATAAAGGATTGTATAATAGTGTCTATAAATAGAGTCTTTGTATAATAATGTAAATACACAATTCAATAATATTCTTCTCCAATATATTTCACATGGTATCAGAGCACTGGTGAGAAACACGGGGAAGAAAACTCAGTCAAACAAGTCACCATGCATCAATTTCTGGCGACTGTTGGGACTGATTTGCATCATCATCTGTTTTTATCAATGCTGTGAGAAAACCAACACCACCATGGGTCCCCCACTCTCCGGCAACAAAAACCTAACGTGTGACTTTTCCGGCAAGATCTGACCACGCGCTGGCACGTGAGCTCTGTTCCAGCTATCATCCGAAAGTGTTATATTCCAATAGGATCGCCTCTTCATTCCGAGGTTGCCCATATAATTATTTTCTGATTCCAACTAATTTTTGGCGATCAGATTTAATTTTTTGGCAACCACTACCTTTTTTATAAGATTCTGGTAAAAAATTGGCAACATATTTCCAAATTTTTGGCTTTCTGATCTCACAAGATGTCTTTCGGGATTGATATACAAGAATTGGAAGTTCAAGTCCTATGATCACTCCAGAACCATTAATGGGAAACTCAAAACTATTTAGCTTGACCTTCCTCAGTTGAGTTGTGGTGCAAGGGTCAAAATGTCCTAGACCACTTAAAAGAACATGTTTGTGTAGTAGATGAAGGCAAAGACTAATGAGGGAGATGCAAAAGCCAAAGCATAATGGGAGAAGGTTGATGCTTAATTATGTAGTCTCTTATGGCAATCTATTGATTCCAAGTTGATGCCCTTTTTTCGCCCATTCCAAACATGTTACTCAGTTTGGGAAAAGGCTCATGCTTTATTCACTAATGACATATCTCGATTTTATGATATGATATATTGGATGACCAACTTAAAGAAACAAGTAAAGAACAGGTTTGTGTAGTAAATGAAGGCAAAGGCTAATGAAGAAGATGCAAAAGCCAAAGCATAATGGGAGAAGGTTGATGCTTAATTATGTAGTCTCTTATGGCAATCTATTGATTCCAAGTTGATGCCCTTTTTTCTCCCATTCCAAACATGTTATTCAGTTTGGGAAAAGGCCCATGCTTTATTCACTAATGACATATCTCGATTCTATGATATGATATATTGGATGACCAACTTAAAGAAACAAGTAAAGAACAGGTTTGTGTAGTAAATGAAGGCAAAGGCTAATGAAGAAGATGCAAAAGCCAAAGCATAATGGGAGAAGGTTGATGCTTAATTATGTAGTCTCTTATGGCAATCTATTGATTCCAAGTTGATGCCCTTTTTTCTCCCATTCCAAACATGTTATTCAGTTTGGGAAAAGGCCCATGCTTTATTCACTAATGACATATCTCGATTTTATGATATGATATATTGGATGACCAACTTAAAGAAACAAGTAAAGAACAGGTTTGTGTAGTAAATGAAGGCAAAGGCTAATGAAGAAGATGCAAAAGCCAAAGCATAATGGGAGAAGGTTGATGCTTAATTATGTAGTCTCTTATGGCAATCTATTGATTCCAAGTTGATGCCCTTTTTTCTCCCATTCCAAACATGTTATTCAGTTTGGGAAAAGGCCCATGCTTTATTCACTAATGACATATCTCGATTTTATGATATGATATATTGGATGACCAACTTAAAGAAACAAGTAAAGAACAGGTTTGTGTAGTAAATGAAGGCAAAGGCTAATGAAGAAGATGCAAAAGCCAAAGCATAATGGGAGAAGGTTGATGCTTAATTATGTAGTCTCTTATGGCAATCTATTGATTCCAAGTTGATGCCCTTTTTTCTCCCATTCCAAACATGTTATTCAGTTTGGGAAAAGGCCCATGCTTTATTCACTAATGACATATCTCGATTCTATGATATGATATCTTGGATGATCAACTTAAAGAAACAAGAATTCAATATGTCTACTTACTTGGGACAGGTAGACACAGCCAGGAACGAATTTGAAACGTTGTACTGCAAACGTGGAAAAGCAGAAAGAGCACTGGCAGACGCTATTTCTAGTTCTTACACTTGTTGGTCTTCCTACTTACCATCATTCAGTGCGTTTAGATTTTAGCTAGTCCTACCGTTCCTACAATTAATGAATTATTCTCTCGTCTACTTCGTCGTGCGGCACTGCCCAGTCACAGTAGTTTTATCACCGACCATTGTCTCCTTTGTTCTCGCATCTCAAATCATAGAAAAACTAACATATCAATCTATGGAGAATCGGCAAGGAGGTAGTTTTGGGAAACCTAGACCCAAGTGTAGTTATTGTCATAAGCTTGGATACACTCGTGACATAAGTTATATATTTTGCATGTTCCACCACCTAGTCATGTTCCTATTGCTCTAAAGGAATATAATGAGTTCATTCCAAATCGCGCAAGTAAGCAAACATCTCCACAAGTAACCTCTATCACTCAACTTAACTGACCATCCAATAATGCGCATATTGCTCAGAAAATATATGATGAGTTCCTTTAGTACACTAGTATATAATAGTTTTAAAACCACAAGGGAGAAAGAACATATTCTTCTGTTTTGCCTCATCACTAGATTCCATAGCAAAGTGTACACTTACAGTGAAGCAAACCCATGTTTCTATTTTTCTGATAAGGTGAAGCCAACCCATGTTTTGTTGAAGGGAAGCCATGTAGACATGGTATCACCATTCTGTGAAACAGAATAAATTTCAATGATTTATGTTTTTCTTTATCAAGTAACTTAAACCATTATAAGGTTGAACTTCTCCTGTACTTTACCTGAAATTTGGACTTAAACTAATTGCCAAAAACTGTGTTAAATCATAAATGTTAGCACAGTTGATGCAATCTGATTCACCCAACATATACAAAACATAATAAAATAACTTAAGAGTGCAGAAGACCTTAATATATGATAGGGAAAAGCCATAAGGCAATACAACTTACTCTTTAAAAAGTGATCGTACTTCTCGGTTTCATACACCTCATTGTTAAAGTACTTCACAGTCTGAAGAAAATGAAAATTGCCAACACAATCAAGTGTATTGCACATCAGAAAATGGATAAAATAAGCTAATCATGGTACATAGAAACACAAGCTTACCTCATAGTTGATAAGAGAATCTATTGCTCGTGTGCTTGCATCATTATCAGCTTTATTCATCTCCTTCCTAAACTTAGTTCGCCACTGTAAGATACAAAATGAACAGGAAGTTTTGGACAAAAGATACTAGAAGCCAGACTCACTAAAAGTTACTGATATATCAGCTATCACCTAGCTGCCACTAGTATGACCAATGAATAACTAAAAGATGGAAAGGGGCATGAAATCCAAAAATAGAAGACCTTTCCAAATACTTGATGGGTTTAGTTCGTAGATAACCTGGGTAATACTTAAGGTAAAAGCAATATATGCAGCCACTGACAGTGATGTGATCCATGCAAAGGAAGCTCCAAACTTGTATGCAAGTATACCTGATACCATTGATATCTGAAAAGGTTCATGTTAATACAGTTGGAGTAATACTTAAAGCAACATGACAAATTTAGGAATTTTTAATCAAAAATGCTGCCTTTTGAATGATGGAATAAATGAATTTATATACCTCCAATATCGTGGGGAAAACATTGAAAACCATTGACGAAAGAATAAAATTGATAGCTCGGCTACCACGGTCAATGACCCGATTAAGACCACCTGTTTCTCGACTGCAAAATGCAAGAAGAATATAAAAACAAATCTATCACATTCAACAAATCACCTTCACAAGAGCAAAACAGATGGAATAAAATTTAAACACTCGGATATTTTTAAGAAGATATAAGATATAGACAGTAACTGTCCTAAGCATCTTATTATGGTGACATGGTACCCATTCACCAAGGACCTTGGCGTCAGGAAAGACTAAGTCAATATAGAACAAAGCCACAAATAGATGAAACTTAACATAGAACTAAACAGAACCAAGTTCACAGGATAATAACCCAACAGGTATGCCTTATTTAACTAGGTCTTTGAAGGAAACAGACTATTCGACTGATGAGGCTGATTGCATTAGTTATCCACTCAGACTTCAATATTGAACAAAGTGTGAATTTTCAAGGAAGTAGGTACTTAGTGTAAGTCATTATAAGAGTGGATTCTTTTAAAGCATAGCCTTCAGAATATATTGTTTTCAATGCTGGTAGAGCAGCAAATTACATTTATGTCATGATATCTTTGCTTCTTTTTTTGAACACTTTGTTCTCTTTGAAGCTAGAATGTGATATGGCAACAGGCACAGTTTTAGGCCTTCTATTCAATCATTAGCACCATGTTTCTACAATGGAAAGTTAAAATCTTGTATGAAGTGTAGATGCATTTGCTTTGGTATAATATTCTGGGTAACTAGGTTTCTGCAGCCGCAACATACCTCACATAAAAAAAGAACTACACGATTATTCCTACTTCTAAAAGATAGAGTCGAAGTGTATACCAATGTTTTGGACGCGAAAGGCGATAAAAGATGACAAGGGTCTACCTCGCCACAAGGCCACGCGAGCGGCGAGGCACTCGCCTTTTTTCAGTGTGGCATCAATTAATACCAAAAAATAAAATATTTAATTGCATATATAAATAATCAAAATCTCAATAGCAATAACCTATTAGCAAATATTTCAATTCAAAAACTGAAAATAGATAGTAAATACTTAGGGGTCGTTTGGTGTGATGGATAAAAGAACTTAAGCCTGGGATAACTTTTAAGCGGCCTTTAATCCGTTGTTTGGTTGCAAAAGTTGAGATAACTTATCCCAGGATTGACAATTAGTCCTGGGATAAGTTATCCTTACATGGGGGTGGAATAGTAATTCCAAGATAACTTATCTTGGGATAAAGTAGGTAAAATAACAAAAATAGCCCCCCTTAAACTCTCTTTTTTACACCACTTTACTTTCATGTATATTAACATAATTTTTCACAACATTTATAATAATAACATTCACAACCTTAATTATTAGTTGTTCTTATGATAATATATTTTGCCATTAAAAAATTATATTTTATAAATACAATTTTTATATATGAATATATTACAAGTTGAATTTATTTGCCTAATTCTTATGTTTATTTTTATTTTGATTTCTCTTAAAATGTTCACTCCACTACTAAATTGCATATTTTTAATTAAATAGTTTACTAGTCACTTAAAAATTATATTTTATATATCAATTATAATGTAGATAACTTTAATGATAAAATTTCTATTACTTTAATAAATTTAAATTGAAAAGTTTTAGTTTTAAGCTAAATAAGATGAATGTTTGGTTTTAAACTAAATACGATGAAAGTTTTATTTTAAAGCTAAATAAGATGAAAATTTTATTTTTTGGTTATCAAAAAAAAAAAAATAAGATGAAAATTTTATTTTTGATCTAAATAAGATGGAAGTTTTATTTTTAAGTTAAATAAGATGAAAAATTAATTTTAAAAACACACAGTACAATCATGGAAATGAACACACAAAATATATAAGCTAAATAAGATGGAAATTTTATTTTTTTAAAAAAGAATAACTAATTAAAGCTTGCAAAGTAAATGTAATAAATAAATAAATAAGGTGGAGGGTATTATCGTAAACAAACAACTTATTCTTAGAAATTATGCAATGAATATAAGTTTGAATATGACAAACCAAACAAGCAATAAAAACTAATCCCATCATAACTAATCCCAGCATAACTTATCCCAACATAATTTATCCCAGCATAACTTGTATTCAAACCAAACGACCCCTTAAAATCTAGAACTTGAATGAGAAAAATTAAAACAAAAGTCAAAACAGTGGTAGATGTAACTCTGAAGAAGAAGTGGAAAAAAATAAGGCATTAGAGGTGTGGAGTGGGGTGATAGAAAGGTGCAACAAGAAATTGTTTAGGTGGAAAAGTCAATACCTTTCACTAGGCCACAGATTGACCCTTATCAAGTCAGTACTTGATGGTCTTCCAACTTACATGATGAGTCTTTCCTATACCCAAAAGGATTGTAAAGAAACTCAACAGGGCAAGGAGATCCTTTTTATAGCAAGGAAATAAGGAAAAGAGAGGTTATAATCTAGTGAAGTGGGATGTGCTAACCCTCGGTAATCAGCAGGGGGGTCTCAGTCTGAAGAACCTCAACAAACAGAATACTTCACTACTGCAAAAATGGCTCTGGAAATTTTGCGCAGAAGAAGGGGCTCTCTGGAGAAGATTTATAGAATGGAAGTATGGTTTACTCACTCAATGGACAACTGAGGACGTCGTGGGTACCTTTGGGTGTAGTGACTAGAAAACCATAAGAAGATTATGATCCCATTTCAGCAATAATGTCTCTATCACCGTCGGAAATGGCTTAAGAACTGATTTCTGGAATGAGGTGTGGATTGGAGAAAACAGTCTTAGAAACTCCTTCCCACACCTTTACACTTTAAGTTCACAGAAGAATGCCAGAGTATCCCACGTTTGGAGCCAACAAGGATGGGACCTAGTATTTAGAAGAGCTCTGAATGATTGGGAAATTGGGGAAGTGGCCAGTCGGCTGGAAAGACTTAACTCACACCCTACTTTATCCATGTGGTCTGACAAACCTAGATGGAAACTACACATTAAAGGATACACATTATGATACCTGCTTGTATTTTTTGGTGTATTTGGTTAGAGAGGTACAAGAGATGTTTTTGATGGAGAGTCAACTGCTTTAGGCATTTTGAAGACTAGGTGCACTGAAAATTTGTTAGTTGGACCAACTTGTATCCTGCTGTTAGTGCAAAACAACTTCAGGATTTTACTAACTCATTAGCTCTGGCTTAGATAGTTTGTATAGTTAGCCAGAGATTTTTTTGTAAGCTCAAATGCCATACCTTGTAAATTTTGCATCTTCCTGATGTTGTTATTAATACCACTTATCTTATCAAAAAAAAGGAGTGTTTATAGAGAAATCTTGCTACTGGGAACTCAACACACTACAGACAATGCTAGACATATGGCCTTGGAAGCTAGTGTGGAAGACCAAATGTGATAGTAACCAGAAGTAGAGAACCGACAAAATAGAACAAAGCAAGTAGATTTACTGAAAATAGTTTGTGCAAGTATCTTAAACACAATTATACAGATAAAGTTGCCTGTATGGAGAGGACAAGACTCCAGAAAATAGTAGTTTTGATTCTTAATTACATAATACCAATAACTAATCATGATTACATATATATATAGAGAACATAAAAGGATAAGACTGACACTATAAACTACATACTAGGAATAATAACTGCTAGACAACTGTTGTAGCAGTTGTTAGTCAAGAATTCAACTCTTTATTCTTTTGTTGATATTTTCATCTAAAGTACATCTTCAGAGGTGGGTTGGTATCAAAATGTCCTCCAAAGGTAGCTTGTTTTACTTGGTTGGTATGCAAAAGGGCTTGCCTAACCCATGAGGCACTCCAGAAAAGGGGCTGGCAGATCTGCTCAAGATGCGCATTGTGTGAGCAGGATGCAGAGGCCAATGTTCATTTATTCATGCATTGTAAGGCAGCTATGAGTTTATGGAACATGTTTTTGTGTCTGCTAGGAGTTAATTGGGTGATGCTTAAGACAACATTGGAACTCCTAAGCAGATGGGAAGGTATTGGGAACAGAGGAAGAAAGGAGCACTGGTGGAGAATTATCCCAGCAAGTATATGGTGGACCTTATGGAAAGAAAGAAATTCAAGGTGTTTTGATGGTCACAACAGTTACTTACAGAAGATTAGAACGAATTGTATAAGCCTTCTGTATTTTATTTTATTTTTGAGAAGGTAACAATTTGTATTATAAACCAGTACTTATGTAGTACTGAAAGCCCCTTTACAAAAACGTATGAAAATCTAGGAACAAAAACAGCAAGCCTAGCATGATTCTAATACTTCTAGGATTGCTTCTGCATCTACAGGGTAACTCTTTGTACACCAAAAACATAATAACAGAATACAATCTGTTTTGATCATTTGTAGGGATCTGCTTCTATCCTCAAAGCTTCTAGCATTCCTTTCTCTCCAAATGGTCCACCAGATGCATGCTGGAATTGTCCTCCAATAACTTATGTTCTTTGCCTCAATTCCTGCTTCCTCCCAACTTGAGAGAGTGTCAACAATCTTGCTAGGCATTGTCCATTGAATGCCTCTGAGATTGATGAAAATCTTCCACAATTGATCAGTGATTTTGCAATGTAAGAACAAATGCCTAACTGTCTCAGCTGCCTCCCCACATAAACAACAATGTGTCACCAGAATGTTGTTTCGTTTCCTCAGATTCTCATGTGTTAGTACTGCCTCCTTTACTAGCAGCCAAGTGAAGCATGCCACCTTGAGTGGAATTTTGGTTTTCCAGAATTGTCTCCAAGGCCAATTGAGGGTTAGAGGAGCCCTTTTCATGACCTTGTAACCTGAGCTCACTTTGTCTCTTCCTTTGTTGTGCTCTGTCCACCAAAGGCAGTCCTCCCCTTCCTTCAAACCTTGAAATGATTCCAACCTTTTAAAGAATTCAACTAATCTACAAACATCCCAGTCATTTAAATTCCTTCTGAGATAGATCCCAACCTTGGGGAGACCACATTTCAGTCACTGTTCTGTCTTTATGTAGTGCTAAGTCAAAGATGTCAGGGAAGATCTCTGACAAATTTTGATTACCAAGCCATCTATCTTTCCAGAATTGTGTCCTGACACCATTGTGTACTGTTATAGTAGTATGATTCCTTAGGAAAGGCCACCAGTTCCTAATTGATCTCCAAACAGTAACACCATAGGGATTGGTTGCTTCCTTGGTGACCCATGAATCCATCTCTCCGTACTTCAGTTTAATCACCTTGCTCCACATTGAGTGTGGTTCATGAGCATATCTCCACAACCATTTCAGCTTTAGAGCCTTGCTTTGGTTCTTCAGGTAGGGGAGCTAGAAGATTTAGTTGATTTTATATAGGAAACTTGTAAAAATACCCTCTTGGGTGTAGAGGACACTGAATCCATTATAGATATCGTAGGTTCCTGTTAGGATTCAGATTCGGTTTTCTTACTTTTTGACAAGCTGTAAATATGGTTTAGTGCAACCCATGCACTGGCTCAATGAATATACACAACGTTACCTTCTCAAAAAAAAAAAAACACCCTCTTGGGTGATGTAAGTTTCCAATTCATCATTTTTGGATGATGAATTGTTTGGTGTGAATATAAAGTTACCCTTTTCTCAAAAAATAAGGAAAAAGAAACAGAGGAAGAAGAAATCTGAAAAGAAGAAGAAATTAGAAGAAGAAAAGAAGAAATACGTATTGGTTGGACTTTGGAGTCACCGGAAAAGTATGGCTGGTCGCTGGAGAAGTCTAGCTTAGTCGACTGGTTTCAGTCACAGTCTAGGAATACAATTTTGTAAATTTGGAAAGAAAACCCTAAAATCACCATTTAACTTTTAAAACCTTAAATTGGTCACCTTTTTTTACGAAAATACAAAAGGCGACGCCTTTGTTGCCTTTTGAAGATGGCAGCGCCACAAAGCTAATAGGCGATGAAGGGTCACCTCGCCTCTCGCCATTGGTGACGAGGCAATTGCCTTTCACAACACTGGTGTGTACATAAACAGTCCAGGCTGGTGTTAACCTTTTTGCAGCACCGGAAGACAGAAATGAGGGGATCTTTCTCCTAGAAACAAGAGAGATATTGTATGATAGCTTTTAATCACTTTCGAGGTCCAACAATTCAGCTGTTCCTCCAATTTAAAGACGAGACACATGAGAGAATGGGGAAGGAAAAGGAGAGAGAGAAGAAAGATGCGGCAAATGCTATTTCTGAGGCAATGCATTAATAAAAGCACATAATTAGCTGCAATTCTTTAGAATAGAATATGCATAGTCATCAGGTTAAGAAGAAAGTGTGTCAAGAAATACCTAAGGTGATATTGCAGGTCGAGTTCATGCAAGTGCGAAAAGACCTGCATACATTAGAGCCTGTTATGTACATCAGCACATTAAAACAAAAGATTTAAGTAAAGTAAAAAGATATGACACGATCAAGACTCGTGCAAAGCATAAATGCAATTGAAAATGTAAAACTATCAACATTAACTGATGTCAGATGGAACACGGGGATAATATTTAGCTAACATACTAGATGATCACTCATCAAAGGACACCATTTTTTTAATATAGTAGTTAAACTCACTCTGGAGTTCGCACAAGGACTAATGGACACATGCAGAATATTTTTTCAAAGCAGTAGTGTCCAGCAACCAATGGAGACTTGAAGAGTCTATTCAACTTTGTTATCGAAGCTACACCCTAAATGGAAAGAGTGGCAAATGTGCATACAAGCAAATTTATCACTTCAACACATCAACTGCATCTTATAATCTTCTGCTAACTAAACTGCTATTCTCACATAAGAAGCAACAACAAACTAAGGAGATCAATTTCTTACTTTGAGCACTTCAATGGATAACATTTGATCCCCAAATTTGAATTCATCTTTTGAAAACTTTGCAATTGTCACCAGTATTTCCACGAGAAATTAAAACAGGAGACATTTAAACTGTGACCCACTGTTCAAACAATGAAAATGGATGACAACATGGTCAATGGTGGGTCAGTGATTTGAAGTATGTTCAGTTATTCACCTTATTATCTTCCCAAGTCGAGCCAGGACGACCAACTTGAAACAGTGTATTGAACAACACTAAGGGATATACACTATACAGGGACTGAGACCCTAGACCTGCTCAGTTCTAGGTTTAACCAGAATATTTCAAAACATAGTAGGAGAAGAAAGGAAATTTCTATTGGAGGATGAGGAGAGTACTACACACGAAAAAGATGAAAATCTTCCTCCTTTTTTCTTTATCTATTACGCAAGTAGAAGAGATTTAAGTCTTCATAAGTCCACTTTCCCACTTTGAAATGCCCACATTTTTCAAGCTGTAGACACGGGAAAAGGCTCAGGGGTAAATTTCCCATCTCAATTCATCTTGCATAATTTAACACAACCATCCAAGATGGTCTCTAACAGACTGACATAGACCAATATTCACCTTTGAATTGAGAACAAAAGAGCCTAACTTTGGACAAATCCATGAGATACTATTGTGATAGTTTTTCATTGACAAGAGCCCATGGTAGACACAGACAACGAAGTGTAAGCATCTTAGTACATCACACATCTGTCCAAAGATAAGAATGTAGACTCTATCTCCCAATAAGCGCATCATCTACAATAAGTTTGGATCTCGGGTCAATACCCCCACAAATTTATGCTCCATTCCCTCAGAATTCTGTCATCATTACGAAAGTTACTCAAGAAAATCTAGAAATGTTGTGGTTCCTGTCAGTGACAACTAATCTAAGGAGACACAGAAGAAAATAGGCTGGCAAACAAACCAAACTCCTCTGTACCTTCCGTGAAACTGACCGAATAGTGCGGAGTGCGACCTTTGAGAAAATTGCAGTTCGCAATTCTGCACACAAAAGAAAGATGAAGGCATTTAGAATTATTAAAAGAGAACAGAACAGTAAAGGACTTGCTGATGAGGAAAAGGAAATAAATATCTATCTTCCATTGACGCATGAAAATTATATCTTTTAATGATAGAAAGAACAAAAACTAGTAACTCTGAATCTCAAGACAAGCACAAGCAATTACTTCATAGGTGTGAAGTACCATTGAAAGCGGATGCCCCTGATCGTGCAATACCATACCCAATCAAGACCGCAGCAGGACTTACAAAAAGAGCCAAAACAGTAGAGTTTGCAGCAGTAAACTCTGCAAGCGTGCTAGCATTGCCAGTTGCTGTTGACAACCAATCAACAGCAAGCTTAAATAAGAATGGTACTTGAACATTCACAACCTGTTGCATGAAATGCACAAAAGGTCACTGCTTTGCAATAATTAATCAGCAGAAAAATCAATATTCATCCCCCGTTTGGCAACAATCTCCACATAATGCCCATTCCTTTAGAAAAACTAATAACGCAACTAACTCCTGAAGAACTAAAGCAAGTTCCCAAGGTCCGAATCCCAGAACCTGCCTAAGCCTTGGTGACACTGGAGGTCAGGGTCCCAGTGTCTTCCTAAGCGTGGGCGGCAGAGTTAAAGGATCCCTCCCTATGCTGATGGGAGAAGCAATGAATTATCCGCACTCAAGTACTACCATACTTGAGTAAATAGATAAATAAAGCAACTAGAAGAGAACAACTCTCATACCTTTGCACCAACTAGTAAACTCAAGGCAGCAATGACGCGAAAGCGGAACTCAAAATTATCCTTCATCCACAAGTATTTTGCGAGAGTGCTTATAATTCTGGCATTAGATATTTGATCGGCTTCCGTTGCAGGCTGAGTTTGTTCCTTGTTGAGGAGAGGCTTTTTTGTGCCAGCATCATCAGTTGAAGATGTTGAAAACATGGCATACCCATTTGATTTCCCATCCTTTAAACCAAAAATAGTCAATCAAAGAGAGGTTTACAATAATAAAATTTAAAAAAAAAGTAATAAAAATGAAAAGACACACATACAGGGTTTTTAGCAGGGAAATCAGAAATGAATGCCTTGATTTGTTTGAAACCAGTAGAAGTGGTTCTTGAAGAATCCCATGGGTATCGTTTAATGGTTGAAAGATGAGTTCGATAACTTGGGGATTTTAGTAGTTGGGAAGGGAAAAGGCGAGAAGGGATGTAATTCAAAATCATTTTTTGTGTTTTGTGGAGCAACAACTCCCTACCCCTAAAACACCTCGAATAGATACTACCTTGCATTTTTATCTTACTACTTAGATTGATGAAGATAACAACTATGTGTCTCCGATCAAATCTAAAAAAGTCGCAGTTGCCGCCGCCGTCACCACATGAGGACGCTGCCAACCGATTTATTTGGGCCAAATTTCTCTCCTGTTTTCCTTTCTCACCATTTGTCCCTGCCTTGTTTGCGGATTACAATTATCCACACTACGGAAAATTATATATAATAGCAAACTATTCATTCAAATTAAATGCTATAAATATACTTTGATTTAATTATATCATATAGCAAACTATTGCTATTTTTCGCCACTCTCCCTGGTAGAGTCTTGCTTGCCACTCTCGTTTGGTGGCAGTCTCGCTCGCCTCTCTCGCTTTTATACAAATTAAACACAAATGTATAAAATGCATTTGTGTTTGTATAAAGCGAGAGAAATTGTATATATACATATATTTTCGTTCCCCTCTCCCAGATCTCGCTCGCCACTCTCCCAAATCTCGCTTGCCTCTCTCGCTTATACAAACAGAAACGAAATGTATAAATTGCGCTTCTGTTTGTATAAAGCGAGAGAAATTTGTATATACACATGCAAATACATTTATCTTCATCCTATACACTTATAATTATACAATACAAATATTTTCCTGCTCAGTTTTCTTTTGTCTTTCTCTCTTTCTCGTTTTATACATACACAGATTATACAATTGATCTTTTGTATACAACTGTTTTCTTTTGTATATGTATAGCGAATTATACAACTGCTTTCTTTGTATATGTATAGCGAATTATACAACTGTTTTTTTTGTATATGTATAGCGAATTGTATATATATATGTTTGCTATGGAGCGCAATCATGCAAATTTTGCTATAGCATACAAATATGAATTTTGTGTTTGCTATATGTGAAAGTTACTCTATAAATGGGTCAAACCGATTTTAAAATGTAATTAAGTTAATCTGGGATTAAATTAATATTTTTAAAATTTTCTAATATTTTATGAAATACAAAAAAAAACACTACATTTTATAACTACTTTAATTCTATCCAAATTATTATTATTTTTAAAATAAAAGAAAATAGAATTTTCTCCTTCTTCTTCTCTCCAACGTTCTTCTCTTCTTCTTCTTCTTCCTTAAAAAATCTGACTATCATTCTCCTCATTATCTTCCTCCTCATCTCCGGCCGTTACTCTCTCTTTTTGAATTGAAGGTCGTGTTCGACTTAAAACGAGTAAGTCATATTTTTGAAAGATTTTATAATTTTCAAACAACACACTCTTGATACTAAGTTCGTTTCTTGGGTTAATAAACAAGAAATCGTTCTATAGATGTCAAAATTGAATAATTATGTAATAGTACCTATTATTTCTTTTTTATGAAAGAAAATCATCAAACCCAAAAAAAACCCTAATTTTTAAGAAATGTATATGTATTGTTGTCGTTCAGTGAAAGTCATTTTTTGTTGCTTTTGTTCTTTTTGTGACCATTTTGTTCATATGATTATAAAAATATAGTATATTCAGTTATCCAACATATATTTCATTTGTTGAAAGAAGTGTCGTATGTTGCAACATAGTAGTGATATGTTGAAACAGAAAATTCATCTATGGCAACAGAAGATTCATTTGTTGCAACAGAATGTTCATTTGTGTCAACAGAAGTATAAATTGATACCCCTTGTTATTTTATAATCCGTTGTAAATTCTCAACTCTTTTTGTTTACCTTGTAGACAAATTGTCACCAGAAGGTTCACATGTGGCAACAACTCAATCTTTTATCGGTGTTGCTTCCTCTTCTAACATCAAATGTTCTTCTGTCGATGTAAAGGATGTGAGCAACAACGTGATTATGTACTTACTCGTGTTAAAGAAATCACTAATATTATTAAGGAAATGACATATAATATTGATGGTCATATAGCCAAGAATATTTCACATGTAGAGACTGTGGAGTTTTTGTTCCTGCATACGCTGATTTTTTGAGTGATGGACTACAAGTACCATCTTCTGAAATTATTTATCAATCCCTTCGCATGAGATATGCTTCACTCCTATAGAATTATGGGATTTTAAAGGCTCAAAGTGGCAATGTTAATAACAATGAAGACCCACATAGGCCTAGACCTAAAAAATCAAACTCCATATCTCCAAATGAAAATGTTATGGTCACCTTTATTGATTAGATTTAGTTTTGATGGATATGTATATCATTTTGAATTACTTTTTGTTGATAAGTTGTAAAAAGTAATTGGTGAAGTGTTCCTTTTAGCTGATATATTAATGGTTAATATTGTATTTATTTTGTTGGAACAAATGTTATTTATGTAGGAAACGAGGAAACTATGTGGTATATGTGGCAACATGTATAACCTCTGTTGTAAAAAATCACACAATTATCTGCATGTGCCCCAACATAAAGGTTATTTGTGGCAACATATGTCACTTTGAATTAACATGTCACTACATAAAAAATGATCTTTAGCGACAATTAATTAATGGCAATAGCTTAATTGCCGCTAAATATGTATTTTTAGCGGCAATTAGCACTCTTTGTATATATCCCTAAAGCATTTAGCGATATTGGATCTAAAGACACTTAACTAATGTCGGTAAAGACTTTAGCACTCTTTATTAATGTGTTTATTTATTGCCGCTAAAAGTTGTTTTTGTTGTAGTGTGTGTTGCAACATAATATTGCCAAAAAAAAAATTAAAAAAGAAAAGAAAAACACAGTCATCTATATAAAAGTCACTTGGGGACGAACAACGCTTCATATTAAAAAAAATTGACTTTTCGTTTCTCTTTCTCCACTCTCTCTCTCTCTTCTATTTTGTTTCTCCTCTCTATTTCTTGTTTATCCATTATTTCTCCACAAATTCACTTGTTGTTGCAATATTTTCTACAACATAAAGTGTAATCTGTTGTAGTTTCTTTGTCTCTACAATAGTTTCAACCGCCTCGTTATTGTCGCTCATTTCTTTTATTGTCGATATCTTCTCAGGTAAAAATTAAATTAGGATTTTCAAATATTTGATGATATTAAATCGGGAGCTTTTTAGTGGTTAATGGTTGGTTGTTATTCTTTTTTTTGAAATATTATCTGGTTTCAAAAGGCTTCAATTTGTAGTTAGTTGGTTAGAATTTAGGAAGGGTTTTGTGGTTGGTTGGTTGGTTAATGTGTGGTATTGAATCGTATTTGGGGTTTTGTGAGAGGTGATGTATTGTTGTTTATTGTTTATGTTATTGTGTGTTGTGTTGTTGTTATTTTTGTTAAGAAATATTTGATTTTGTGGTTGATTGTTGATAAACTTTTCCAAATACAAATATAATGTTCCCTATCAAAAGAGAAATTGTAGTAACAATTGAACCAATTGACACAAAGATCAAGAAGAAACCTAGGATTGAACTGGTAGGAAGAAGAAGGAAAATTCTAGTTCCTCTCTTTTACAAGAGCTTGCATTCAAAACAGTTTCTTCTCAAGTAGAATCACGAGTTTCTTCTTCTCAAGTAGAATCAAGAGTTTCTTTCGAAGTAGAAGTAGGAGTTTCTCAAAAAGAACTTGATGTAAAGGAAGAAGGACAAGAAAAAAATGAGGATGACGAAGACAGAAAAGATAATAATGAAGCTGATGAAGAAGGACAAGAAAAAAATGAGGATGAGGAAGAAAGACAAGATAAAAATAAAGCTAAGGAAGAAGAAAGAGAAGAAAAATAGAGGAAAAGGAACACATACAAGAAAATAAAGAAGTTGATGAAGAAGAAGGGAAAAAAAGAATTGTTGTTGGGTCAGTTATGGGTTGGGGTCTGCTCATGAGATGGAATAGTTTGTATTATGGTGCAACTTATTCGTATTCAGTTGCAGTTGATTCATATTTTGTTGCATTTTTTGTAAATTTTTGTTGAAATTGATTCATATTCTGTTGGAACTTTTTTAAATTATGTTGCCATAAATGCCAATTAGATGGATATATTAATTGATAAATTAAGTGATTTAGTAATTAAAAATGTTAAATTGGACCATATTCTATTACATTATACCATAATTTAGCAATAAAAAAATAAATGCTATAACACTATATAATGATGATCTATTGTGTTATATTAATTATTTAGTCATTGGATAATAAAATAGTGGTATAATACTATATGTATTGAATAATTGATAAATTTTATGAAAATTGTTACATTAGACCATAATTTTGTAATTAGACATGTTATGACACTATATATTAGTATTACATGTTGTATTAGGTCACAATTTAATTGAATTAATATGAAAAACCACATGTAAGGTTATCCATATATTGCAACATATGACCTATAAGTGGAAATTTCAACACAAAATTGACCATATGTTCCAACAGAATATACATAAGTTGTCACAGATGCCAATTTGATGAATGTATTAAACGATAAATTAAGTAATTTAGTAATTAAATGTTAAATTGGACCATATTTTATTTCATTAGACCATAATTTAGCAATAAAAAAAATGCTATAACACCATGTATAACGATTCTCTATTGTGTTGTATCACTATCATATGGAATTACTTAGTCATAGGATGATGAACTTGTGGTATAATACTACATGTATTGAATAATTGATAAATTTGAAGAAAGTTATTACATTATACCATAATTTAGTATTTAGACATGCTATAACACTATATATTAGTGTTACATGTTGTATTAGGTCACAATTTAATTGAATTAATATGAAAAACCACATGTAAGGTTATCCATATATTGCAACATATGACCTATAAGTGGAAATTTCAACACAAAATTGACCATATGTTCCAACAGAATATACATAAGTTGTCACAGATGCCAATTTGATGAATGTATTAAACGATAAATCACATGTAAGCTTATACATATGTTGCAACATATGACCTATCTGTGGTAATTTCACCACAAAATTGACCACATGTTCCAACAAAATATGCATATGTTGTCACAAATGCCAATTTGATGGATGTATTAAACGATAAATTAAGTAGTTTAGTTATTAAAATGTTAAATTGGACAATATTTTATTACGTTAAACCATAATTTAGCAATAAAATATTATAACACTATATATAACGATTCTCTATTGTGTTATATCACTATCTTATGGATTTACTTAGTCATAGGATGATGAACTTGTGGTATAATACCATATGTATTGAATAATTGATAAATTT